AGTGTGTGTTGTGTGTCTGTGAGGAAGTTAGGGAAGGGAAAGTGCCTCACAGACGTTGGGAAGGCGGAAACGCATCACCGGGGTCCATGGTAAAGGAGGAAGAGTTCGTTCCTTCTCTTTCTCACCCGTTACGTTCTTTAACCTCCGTTCTTTGTCCTCTCTCTCCTATCCATTCTAGGATATAGTTCTCTCTTTTCTATCCGTTGCAGTCCTATACTTATTATTTGCGCTCATCCTTTCTCTCGTTGCGCACTCTCCCACGTTATCTTTTCTTCTTGCACGCGGTTTAATTAAATAGATATGATAAATATTTTATGAATTTGAAATGATTACGACTTAGTAACTAATTATGATAATATTCTTATGAATTTTAATAATATAACCTAATAACACTAATTATGATAATATTTCTTTTATAATGTAGTAAAAAATGATCAAGCGTGCTTTCTTATCGACGAATTCAATACTTATTGAATCATACTACTCAGCTAAGAAGCGTAATACTTTTCCGACTTTGTCAAGAAATTCTATGGCATGGAAAACGTAAAAATGTAATGAGAGAGAATGGCTCCTTTTCTCAATATCGCCACTTCTTTCACGACAAATTTCTTTCCAACGATAAATCCTTGCAGATCCACAAACGTTGGTATAGTCATGGTGAACGACTTTTTGAGACTGTGCTCTATCGCAAAGAATCATGGTTTTTATTTCTTGTATTAAAAAGAGAGGGAAGGTATTTTTTCTTTCAGCAATAGTAATTTACGTAATCTTGCGTACTACGTTAGATATTGGACTATATTTGATTACGCGGTCGTGTATGATGAAACAATAGACTGTAGTATTCGCAGGTACATTCTGTTTGAATTCAAATTCTAATCACACATCCACAGTACCCCTCTTGATGGATTCGTTTTGTAGCGAGCAGTCAATGATAACGTGAGTACAATCGTGAAGAAAGTTTTTCATATTCAACAATGTTTTACGATTTTTCTGAAAAATTTGGTAATAAGATGTACGGAAATGTGCATACATATCATATAAGACAGAGGTTTTGTATTTGTCAAAATATAGTTTCAGATCATCATACGGATAAAATTTAGAGTTTAGATAAAGTTTGATTAATTGTTGGTTAATTTACAATGATTGAAGTAAGTTTTAGTTGCTTTCATGATGTTTTTTCTTTAGCAGTTTGCACAGCAAAAAGAATATCTAGGTTTTTTCAGCTGAATCGTAGTCTTGATAGCTCACAAATGCTTTGTCGTGTTTTGCAATAAGGGATACTCATACAAATCCCACGAACGGAAACTCATATTTAGATATCGTCCGCTTTCCAACATACTCAGCATAAATAGTTTATTGAACTTCGTTCAACTTAACGTGAGCCATTCGTCATTGTATTTTGAATAATTCAAGTGTCAGTTCAGTAGCTGGATCTCCCACAATGCAATTGTTGTCATTCGTTGCGCATTTGGAAATTAATTCGTAACGAACGTTAATTACTATACGTTTGTAATTCTCGCAAAAGTCCAACAATATGCTGAGCGACACATAAAAGTTAAAATATCCATCAGGTGTCATTAAACTTTTCGTATTATACTCAGATAGAATAAGTCCAGCATTATGCATAACCATTGTATTGTCACATGAAAACGATGCATAGCTCTTTAGAGTACTGGTTATTCCAACATTTCTATTACGATCAATCTCTGCACCATTGAATTCATTTTAAATTTCGTCAAATATGAACGCCACGCAATTACTTCCAATTATTGGCTGTTTTTGTTGATCTTTTTTCTTTGATGTCAATCTGCCTTCGACATAGAAAACACTTTCATACAATAACGTGTATAAATCCTGCTGTTGTTGGGTATCCTTATCTCGCCGCTATGTCCAAACGTGGTGTTGACGTACGGATTGTATGTGTGAAACTCGAACTTGACGAAACGATCATTAAATCGGCTCATTTCCAATTCAAGATATCAACTATCACAGATATTTCGTATAATAAAGCCCAATGATTGTAAAAATTTAATGTTTGACACAGTAAGCTTCCTTCTATTGAACGATCGAATATTTTTGATCGTTGTTCCTCTAGCAAAAATTATGTCTCTAGTCCGTTTCATCTGCTCGTTCAAAACAAGCATCTCACGTTATCGTTGTCGTATCACTTTATCACTGTCACCTCCGTACATCGCAATCTAACGGTGATTTCTTCTCCTCTTTTTTCTACTCGAAAATCGAGTAATCGTCCTTGATCCACAACGCGAACCGTCAAATCGGTAACGCTCCGTACGATGATCGGAAGGTAAATGATCTGTGTCGGTCTTTCCGATATCTTACTAGGTGCGCAACTAAGTTTCCGGGTTTCACACATGGATGGCACGACACATGTAGTCGACATACATGTCTGAAGTTGTATTTTTTTTATAGCTTGGACATCTATTAACAATAACTAGTCGTAATACCAACACATATCGCAACGCAAAAATATTTTTTCTAACAACGAAGATGTCGAGTTTTGTGCCAAATAAAGCATTTGCGGGAAGCTTTGCTTTTCTGTTTTAACTTGAAAAAAAATGCAGCTGAAGCATGTCGTTTGCTTGAGGAGGCCTACGGCGAACATGCACCGAAAACTACCTGTGAAGATTAGTTTAAGGGGTTACACTACCCAAGCGCGTCGAAAAAAGATTTTTCACTTCTTTTTTCAAATTGCGTAGTCTTGTTCCAAGCCTTTTTTGTACATGACCTTGAAGAACTATAATTGAAGAACTATAATTCACTTATACCTGCTAAAACTACCGACAGAGCTGTAATAATCCTGTGCGCGGTCGAGCGGCCTTTTCAAACGTTTCGGAGCGCTCAGAGGCGCTTCCGAAAAAAATCTGAAAAAATTATTTATAACAGCTTTCCACCAAAATTCTTTTCGAATGTTATTTTTAAATATAATAGTTTATACATCATTTAGCAAATAAATAAATTAAAAAAAAAAAACATTTTCTGGGTAGTGTAACCATCAAAAACTACCTGTGAAGATTGGTTTAAACGCTTCAGAAGTGGCGATTTCGATACTGTGGACAAGGAGCGCTCCGGAAGACCAAAAACAATTGAGGACGCCGATCTGCAAAGTTATTGGATGAAGATGATACGCAAACACAAGATCAACTTGCGGAGGCATTAAACATGACTCGTCAAGGCATTTCCAAACGTTTACATGCCATGGGAAAAATTCAAAAGGAAGGAAAATGGGTGCCGCATGAGTTGACTGAAAGACAGATGGAAAATCTAAGAGCCACTTCCGAAATTTTGCTTTTGCGGCATGAAAGAAAGAGTTTTCTGCATCGAATTGTTACTGGCCATGAGAAGTGGATATATTTCGAGAATCCCAAACGCAAAAAATCGTGGCTTTCACCTGGCGAAGCATCAACATCGACGGCACGGCCAAATCGCTTCGGAAAGAAGACAATGCTCTGCGTTTGGTGGGACCAGAAAGGAATCGTGTACTATGAGCTGCTGAAAACGGGCGAAACTGTCAATGGGCATCGCTTCCCACAACAACTGATCAATTTGAACCATGCATTGCTCGAAAAACGGCCAGAATGGGACACGAGACACGAACGAGTGATATTGCAGCACGACAACGCTCCGTGCCATCGCACTTCCATCGTCCAGGACACCATTAAAACGCTGAAATTGGATCTGCTACCGCACCCGCCGTATTCGCCAGACCTGGCCCTTTCCGATTATCACTTGTTCCGGTCGATGGCGCATGGCTTGGCTGGGCTACACTTGGCCAATTTCGAAGAAGTGCAAAATTGGTTGGATGAATGGTTTCGGTCCAAAGACGCGTCGTTTTATCGTCGCGGTATTCATGTATTGCCAGAGAGATGGCAAAAATGTGTAGCTAACGAGGGACGATACTTTGAATAAACCATTTTTTGTATTTCTCTTGAAATTTTCCATTTTTCATTGATCAAAAAAACCGGAAACTTAGTTGCGCACCTAGTATAATCTGGTGACACGCTCGGTGAAAATTCATGTATCGTATGCACGTATTTATCGTTGCTGTATGCGCCAGTGATCACGTTAATTCGTCAATACGAATGATATTTACGTTGATGATATTTATCGATACGTCTGATTTGTGCCACTGTTGCGGTTCCTATCGCGATTCGATAAAAATCCCAAAAGCGATTCAATATTATGAGGTTTGGTGAAATTTACTCGATAAGCGTATTTGATCTCACTCTTCTTTGTATTGTTATTGGCATGAATTGGCATAGTCAATGAGTACTGTTCATCCTCTTTGCGTTTTCTCTCTCGCAACATCATTAAAATGAAATTGTAAAATTGCACGTCTTAGATACTTGTTAATGTTACGTATTTCGTATAATCCTTCCGGAATGACAATTTCTTTGTCATCTTCGTCAAAATAAAACTTATTATTCAATCAATTTACATTAGATATCCTATAGAAAAACTCAAAATCCGTCAGATTAAGCTCGTAATCGCTGAAATCTACGGCCGGAAAGTAGCAGGCTGCTATTCTTACTGGTGAGCATAAATGTCAGTGTTTGAATGAATACCGAGTTGAAAGAGTGCAATGTCAATTCTTAAATTGGTCAATCGTCTGTAAAAATTGTAGACATAGATGTCCACAGTTACTTAGATCATAATATTGATAAGGCGTGTGATTACTCGATTTGTGTTACGTCTAAATATCGCACTAATTCCTTCAGTGGTCGAAGATTGCCGAAACTATCAAAATAAACAGCACGATCTCCTCGCTTCGCGTACGCCACTCAATGAGTAACTTAGTTCATCAGCATTATCCAAATCACTCTCGTTTTGATATTCACCCCTGTTGATAAAGTAGTACGCATAAAAATACCTCTAAAATATGGAATACGTTTTGTTAGTTGTTGCAGTTGTACGTTGATAGTTACACCTTTTGGAATTTTTGGCAACTGTTTAATGTTTTTTTAAATCTTTTTTATTTTTTCCGTTGTGACTCCTCGTCCACGCTTGTACGAAGCGAGGTAAACTCCATGATTTTCCATGACGCGGTTATGACGTTTCAGTTCTTCCAACTTACGTTGCGTGGTTTTATTATCGTTTATAGCTTTTGCAACTCTTGTCGCGCCGCTGACCAATGAGCTGAAGAATAGTCCTAACAGCGATAGAATAGGTAAGATAAGCATTTTGCCACCGGTAGCATTCATTTTTTCGTCGGTTTTTTTCTTCTTCATTTTCAAGCCCATACCAATTTTCGTTTTGGCTTTCATAGTCGCTCAAACAGCTGTGGCAGCAGCTCTCTCTCCAAGAGTCGAATCTTTCGCGGTAATCCGTTTCCGCGCCTCCTCAGCGAGTATTTTGTCAGCTACGTGTCGTTTTGTTAAATCTTTGCTCCGCGAATAAGCTATGTCATGTTCGCGACACGCCACGTCCAACGGATTAATGTCTCAATCACCTCTAGCCAATCGCTTTTCTAAATGCTTACCTGGACCATAAAATTGATATCCAGTAATATGTAACTCGATCGGAAGTGCATAATTTAAAAAACTGCAGCCTTTTGTTGTTGTTGTTGACATTTGCTACAATTTCTTATAAACGGCGATGGACCATCAATATATGGTCGAGGCAGGGCAAATTATAATGTTTCAAGCACCAACGATGCTGAACTTCTGAATTAGCTTTTATATGCTCGGGTAATCTATCCCACAGTTGATTTATGTATTTCTTAAATTCTCAAAATTTTCGGTATATACGAGTATTGCAACTCTTTGACGGTTAAACTATGTACATCACTGTTGTCCGATACGATAAGAAGCATTTTGAATACTGAGCGGTTTGACTTTGCGCGTTACTATAAATACATCCGCTTTCGATGTCGTTTTTTCACTTTGTATCATTGTCGTAAAGGGAGAAGGTATGAAGTTCGTGCGATAATCGCAGACGATCAAAGTAACTAATGTCGACAATAAAGTACAGACTGAAAAAGAAATATGCAAACATGCTACCGATTTCTATACACGGAATCATCTGCGGTTCATCGAACTGTGGCAAAACAAACGTGTTGATAAATTTGCTAAAAAGTCCACATACGTTTGGCATACGTTTTGAGAACGTGCACGTGTACTCAAAGTCGTTGCAACAGTCAAAATACCGATGCTTGGAGAATTTATTAACACCAATTAGAATTAATTATTTTACATTTTCCAGTAATAACGATGTAGTACCATCGAACGAGGCGCTTTCAAATTCTATTTTTGTCTTCGATGACATGGCATGTGACAAGCAAGACGCGATCAGAGAGTACTTTGCGATAGATCGACACGCGGACGTCGACTGCTTCTATCTGTGTCAGACGTATGCAAAGATACCGAAGCATCTTATGATATATGCGATAATGCAAATCCGTTGATCCTGTTCAAACAAAACGGCACCATGAAACATGTATACAAATCATGTAAACACCGACAAGTCTTACAAGAATTTTTGCAAACTTGTTGCTGTTGGCAACAAAAGATTTGTAGTGATACAGACAGTGCGCTTATTAATGGATAATACATAAAAGGATTTAATGAGTATACGATATCTTAACGTGATTAGTCGTTATCAATACATCAACTATACAACATTTCCTTTCAAGTGCAACATGGATAACAACAAAGAGCTCAAGGATCGCGAGAAGATAGCGAAACAAATTGCGAAAACGAGTGACTTGATTCGAATAAAATATCGTGTTTTAAAAACCGGCAAAATAGAGGAAGATGTAGCATTCGAAAAACCTTTAAGCCTATCGTCGAACTTCTAAAACAAATTGTCAAGAACATCGCTAATGATGAATCTCAATCAATTAAGAAAAAAGTCAACGTTGTAAAGGATAAAAATATTAAGAAAAAAAAACCTTAGAAAAGAAGATAATTAAGATGTTCATGATGATAAAGATAATAATGATGGTGATGGCTTCTGAATGGATAATTCATGGCTTCAATTTTGACACCGTCGTCTAAAAAGCAACGTACAAAAGAATCGAACGTTACGTTTCTAATTATGCGTCGCCTAAACTACATGAATTATCGTACAAACGTTCACACGTTTCCTCAGTCGAAGATGTTTATGAAATGACCAATGAACCGCTTAAAACGTTAGTTAAATAATCTTTGCAAATGAGGCAAGTTCATGAGGAGTTGCATAATTAATTGGGGGCACTTGAACAAAAATACAATACGTAAACGTGCTTCTCGGTGGTGACAAAAAAGGCGATCGATTACGTTTAAGGTAATCCTGTAAACCTCAGCGAGAATGACACGATGCTCGATGACAAATATTTCGATGTAGACACGAATGACTTTATGATCGTAGCTGGAGTAAAGTACAAAGGTACACCTGGTTTGTACATATTAATTTTCAAAAGAATCCCCAATGACACTATTTACACAAAGGATGATAAACTAGCGTATAAAAGTACTGTTGGCAACAAATGCTCATAGACGCAGCCATAATGCGGATAATCCAGTATTGGATAAAAAAGGATACAAATACGAGGTCTGTTCAAAAAGTATCGCGAATTTTGAATCTGCGCGGGTTATGTATATTCAATTTTCGATTTTTTGTGGCGTTATGTTGGTACTCATATCTCTCACTTATGCCGACAAGATCGGCCATTTTGAATGTTCAGTTAATTTTTGACAGTTGCTTTACTTGCACGTGTTTTGGCTCGTCTTCGATTTTTGCCTATTCCAAAAAATGAATCAAAGAATTTGTATCAAATTTTGTGTGAAAAACAAAATTAAGTGCGCGGATGCATTCCGAATGTTGACTGTGGCATACGGTGAAGCTACTTTGGACCGAAGCAACGTTTATCGGTGGTACAAAATGTTCTCAGAGGGCCGAGAAGATGTGAACGACGAAGAGCGTGCCGGACGCCCGAGCACGTCAACAACAGACGAAAATATTGATGAAGTGAAGAAAATAGTATTGGCCAATCGTCGAATCACCGTTAGAGCAAGTTATGCGCAATTTGCGCAAAGCAATCCGCCAGAAACGTCCGGATTTGTGGAAGAACAAAAATTGGCTTTTGCACCATGATAACGCTCCTGCTCACACATCGTTGCTTGTGCGCGAATTTTTGACCAAAAACAACACACTAATGATGCCGCAGCCACCGTATTCCCCCCCGCCCCCAGATCTGGCCCCCTATGACTTTTTCTTGTTCCCGAAACTGAAGAGGCCCATGAAAGGACGACGCTACGCTACGATTGAGGAGATAAAGACGGCATCGAAGGAGGAGCTGAACAAGATCACAAAAATCATTTTTTGAAGTGCTTCGAGAATTGGAAAAAACGTTGGTACAAGTGTATAATATCTGATGGGGATTACTTTGAAAGGGACAAAATAGATATTCATGAATAAATAAATAATTTTTGAAAAAACACAAAATTCGCGATACTTTTTGAACAGACCTCGTATAAGAATATAATAGCATCCTTGATATCAGGTAAGATACAAATTGGAACGGATATATCACACGCCAAGAATCTAAACAACAAGTCAGGTAAAAGAGTCGAAAAAGGTGTAATACGTAGGCTGCTGGAAAAGTTTCTGGAATCTAGTACTTCCAGTGGCGCCAACGTTCTGCTACTATTCGTAAAATTAGACGTTTTTAATCTATAATTCAATTGGCAGTTTGTATCCAAGCCAACTAATTTTGTCTGCATAGTATTTTAAAAGAAGTTATTTTGTAAGAAAATGGAAATTTCGCGTGAAAATTTTCGGGCAATGATTTTTTACGATTACAAATGTAAATGATAACTCCGAAACAATGCATCGATCGACTTCATTTGGCTTTTGGGGATGAAGCACCATCCAATAGGACTGTTTATAATTAGTTTGCCGAATTCGTGGACGTACCTTTCTTAGTGATGAATTCCGTGAAGATTGTCTATCCACGTCTGTTGTTGCCACTAATGTTGATGCTGTGCGTGAAATGATTGATGAGCGAGACCGGCATATAACATACCGCGAGATTCAGGCATTCTTAGGCATTGACATGAATACAATACATACGATTTTGCATGATCACTTGAGCGTACAGAAATTTTGCAGTCGTTGGATCTCACACAATTTGACCGAAGCTCAAAAACAGGCTCGTATTAAATGGAGCAAAGAAATGCTCAAGAAATTCAACCGTCGATAAAATTTGGTCTACAACATCGTTACTGGGGACGAAACATGGATCTATTCGTATGAACCCGAAAGTAAACAACAATCCATTGTTTGGGTATTTCAAAATGAACCGAAACTAACAAAAGTTGTTCGTTCACGCAGTGCTGCCAAGCAAATGATTGCTTGTTTCTTCGGTTATACCGGACATGTGACAGCCGTGGCTAGAGGATCGAAAGACTGTAAATACTGATTGGTATACAACAATTTGTTTGCCAGAAGTCATAAATAAATTGCGTAGAACAAACCATCATCCTTCATTATGACAACGCCAGCTGTCACACAGCACGTCAAACCGTTGATTTTTTATCCAGTAATAATGTCAAATTGATGACTCATTGTCCGTATTCACCTGATTTATAACCTAATGACTTCTTTTTGTTCCCAAACATTAAAAATAAGATGCATGAGCGATTTGAGTTGCCTGAAGCAGCTGTTGAAACATTTCGTACACTGATTTCTGAGGTTACAGCCTTAGAGTGGAAAAAATGCTTCGAAAATTGGTTCGAGCGTATGCAAAAATGTATCGATCTTAAAGGCGAATACTTCGAAAAACAATAAAGCCATTTATCGGATTTTACATGTTTTTTTTTCATATTGTTTGCAGAAACTTTTCCAGCAGCCTACATACCACGCACCATGACCCTAAATGACAATAAAATCAATTACGTTCATTGGAACAATCCTAATGAGTTAATGGATCGTCTCCGATTGCTTGAGGCCTCGCATCAGGTAAGTCACGACGATCACGATAACAAAATATTGTCTATTATAGAGGAGCTTCGTGAAACTGACTTTATTATAAATTGAAGCAAGATACACAGTCATTTTAGATGACATCGAAATGCCGATGAACAATGTTTGCGTAAGAACTTTGAAATATTTTATGCATTATACAGCAATAATCATAACATAACGTAACATGTCTGAAAAAAAGCCTTGAAAAGTGGCGACTGGTGGAAGAACTGCACGTTCCGGCGAGAAAAAATTTTCCACGCAGACGTGTCATAGTTTATGGATACGATGACCTGTGGCAGGCTGATATAGTCGAGATGCGCCTTTACACACGATTCTACGAAGGTTATCACATTCTCACCGTTATCGACGTGTTGAGCAAGCACGCATGGATCGTACCGCTCAAAACCAAGAGTGGAAATGAGATGGCTACAGCGATAGCAAAGATAATTCGAGATGGAAGATGTTCGAAAAATTTGCAAACCAATATGGGAAAAGAATTTTAAAACACAAACGTATACAAATACTCTTAAAAAAATACAATATAAATCATTATTTAACGTATTCCGTAATGAAAGCATCAATCGTCGAACGGTTCAATCGTTCGTTGAGAAACGACATGTGGAAACAGTTTACGCACAATGGAAATTACAAATGGATCGATTCGTTATCGCATCTAATGTCGGAATACAACGCCCGAAAGCATCGAACTATCGGTCCATCGATGTGACTCCCACGTTTGCCGACAAACTCTTAAACGATGTACAGTAGCGTAAAGGCCGTCGCACTCCCGCGATTCAAAGTGGGTGATTCGGTACGTGTGAGCAAATTCAAGACAATCTTTGAGAAAGGTTATACGCTAAATTGGACCACGAAGGTATTTAGAATCATTAAGCACGATCGACGCGCAAGGCGTACATTTTTGTTCTAAGCCCGATAAATTTGCGCCGTTGTTTTCATCTTTCATTAAACCGGGAACTTTTTTATTTACGAGCAGAATATCATACGCATTGTCGACCGCATAATTGCTAATGTCGAATCGATTGATATCGTACTTCATAACAGTGTAAACATCGTCGCACTCGATTTGATAAATAAGACTATCCGTGTCGGTATATATAATTTTATATTTTTCATGAAAGAGCGATAACATTTACTCGTGATGAAATTCATACAAATATGTCTTGAATATGTCTAAGATATACATACCCACGTATATCGGTTTGTTGAACTTCGAGTTTACGCATTTCTATTGCGAGTAGATTTTCAGAAAAAAACGCTCCTATTATGAAAGTTTGGTTTCACGATCATTATCTCTGCACTGTATCTCCAAGTCGCACGTCGAGATGGTTGCGCACATTCTCCATCTTGCCAAATACCGCGTTGTTCATTAATTTTTTTTTAATTCGTTATTCGCGCGAGTTCTAAAATTTGTATTGAGTTTGATGTACTCGCGAAGCTATAGAGATTGCGCGAATTGTAATATACGGTAAATTTTTATGATGCGGAGACTGCGACGAGTACATTGCTGCAGATTGCAATAATAAATAATATAACTTTTTATCATATAAATTCCAAGAGTTTGTCATCTCGCTTACCGGGTGATTTCTCACGCATCGGATAAAACGTAGATCGGAGTGCACGTTATAGAGATGTTGCAGATACTCCAAGTCAACCTCAAGAATGTAACCTGTCGGTGAACCTAATGCGACATTCATAACATCAAAATTGTTTACATTGTTGACCCATCAAAAATCGGTGTATAGCAATGATTAACACGTTGCCCAACCGTAGAGGTTGTTGACGTCATAGTACATCAGATATGTCGATGGTTTCGATGGATCGTACGACGGAATTTGTTGTTGGCCTGCGCATACCCGTTGGAACATTGGCTCAGATCCCCGCGTATACCACGTTCAATGAATAGAACCATGTCAATGTCAGTGAAGTTCGAAATTGATGCGAGTATGTTTCAACATCGCGTCCCGCGTAAAATGCGGTAGTGTATAATAATACTTGGAATCGAGTCCATAACTGGTGATGCAACTATTGAGAAAATTCTCAAAAATGTCGGCCAACAACAAGACATCTGTTTTTAAGTACGAGGGCAATAAGTTCTTAGAAAATCTGTTGGAGGGCACTCGCAGTGCCATGTCATATTACTTTTTGACAAGTAGCATCTTTCAGCTGATTACTGTCAAATTTTGAGCGGAATTCATCGCGTGGTTTCATTTCTGTAGACGATTAAAGCAAACAACCTTTGTATTTTTTGTAAAATGGAAGAACGAGTTTCGAACAGTAATCGAACATCTACATATGAAAGATTTAACGCCGAAAGAAATCAAAGCCGAGTTGGATAACATTCATAGCAGCAGCGTTTGCGACTGTATATAATTGGGTGAATGAATTTAAACGTGGTCATATATTCACATGTGATACACCTCGTTCGGGACGTCCAATTGAGGCTGCTACGCCAGAAATCATCGATAAAGTCCACGATATTGTTTTGACTGATCGACGAGTGAAAGTGCGCGAGCTTGTTGAGGCCACAAGCATATCACATGGCACAGTGATTTCAATTTTGCATAAACAATTGGATATAAAAAAGCTATCAAGTGGCAAGGTGGGTGTCGCGTTTGTCCACTGTGGACCATAAGCAAACGATAATGGCGATTACTACGTAGCCTTAAATCGTTTCAATAACATTTTAAAGAAAAAACGGCCCCATTTGACAACGAAAAAAGTACTCTTTCATCAAGACAATGCATACGTTCACGTGCCCGGCACCAATGGTCAAATTCAACGAATTCCGCTACAAATTGCTTCCCCATCCAGTATATTCGCCAGATTTAGCCCCCTGCGACTATTTCCTGTTTCCAAACCTGAAGAAATGGTTCGGAGGAAAGAGATTCACCACCAGAGAACAGCTCATCGCCGAAACAGAAGTTTATTTTGAAGGGTTGGACAAATCATATTATTCGGACGGCTTGAAAAAGTTGGATAATCGTTGGATCAAGTGTATCGAGCTGAAAGGAGACTATGTTGAGAAATAAAAATGAATCGATCAAAAAAAATGTGTTTTACTATGTTTTTCTAAAACCTTATTGACTTGCCCTCGTATAAGTCGCTATATTCACCGAGATTTCGAATGGAGAATCGCTGCCACATGTTCATGGCATGCGCGTAATCACTTTCCGATACAGTGTCGCCCGTTAACAAACTATAAAACGATTCGCACGGAGATTAGACATGTATCCTCCAATTTTTCGCACTCAACGTATTCGTACGAAAATACACCTTTACGCGTGAGTAGATCGAAATTCTCCAGGTTGAAATTCTGACCGTGTAATTTTCAATTTATCGAGATACGACGCCAATTTTTCTAAACTTGAACAAGAAATTTATATAATTGATAAATCGTAATTTTATACAAGTTTTCTTTTGATCATTTTTGTCTATAGTGCTATCGACATGTTTCGTAAACAAAATATATTTTTCTTTTGTCATAGGAAGTATGTTTACAAGTCCTTCGTACGTGATAGCTATATTTTTGATAATAAAGTATGTGTCGTAGCCCGAAATTATGAAAAACTATGAGTATGTAACGTGAATCTATATAATTTAAGTTGCAATTCGAGTGCGCGGAGCCTCTATATCGCCCGGTCAAGTGGCAATAATCGCATACCCGTATATCGTCAGCGGCAAACGGTTTTTCGCACGTGGCAGTGCATACCACTGTTAAACTTTTGCCAATTGTTTCGCGAGAAATCTGCCATGGGAATATTAGCAGACAGGGAGTATTTACTCGTACATTATGCGCTAAACTTCTGAGTTCCTCGGTGAACCACGCGACGCAATCGTTATCGCAACGAAAACGATATATCGACAGCGAGTTGTCGTACGAACAATGTGCGTAATACCCAATGCTAAACACATTGTGATATTGGTACGTACAATATATGTTAACATATTCCGGTAAAAATGTAAAAAAATCCATCGAAGCCTATATCAGCTGTTCAGATGCACAGAAAATTCTTTATTTTCATGTGAAGGAAACAGTACGAATAAACGTTTCAACCCTTTAATTCGGATCTTTATCAATATAAACTGTAAACAGAAATTACATAAGTAACGCAAATTCCAGGTTGATGATTCCCGACAATTTAGTTCGTTCTTTTTTATCCAAATGCCAAATTAGCTATATAATAAATAGCCCAATGATTATCAAAAATATTACTTTATACAATAATAATATAAAACTTACATAAAATAAAACCGAAGTCATATACATTGTGTCACTAAGTAGAATCACATCGCTCATCAGATTGTCAGATTTGCTGTGTAGTCATTCAAAAGAAACACGAAAATGAAAAATTAGAGAATTATTAAAATCATTTGTCTGAATTTTAATTATATCAACTTACATGTAAGCATTTTCTCGCAACTCGACGAAAGATTTTATAGTGTCAGCAGTCAGACATATAATGAAAAAAAATAAAGTTATAAAATAATAAAATATCAAAATAATGAAGTTATAAAGTTGAAAATAAAAATAAGAGCAAGGAAGGATAAAATCAATGTCACAATTCCGTAAACAAATTTATGTATAGTAGGTCTAAAGAATACATATCATTCTGTAAATTCAAACTCTGTTTCTGTTACTTTATATGTATCGCTTCCGAAATTAGTCTTTTATTAAGTACCATTTCTTCATCTAATATCATGACATTTTCCCAATCAAAATCATGTTAATGACTAATTCTGTGTTTTGTTATTACGGAATGCTGTGTAGTGTTCCAATTTATGTGATTTTTATGTTCATTTATGCGTGTCTTCAAACATCTACCTGTTTGGCCCACATATGATGCTTCACAATCTCGACAATCGATTCTGTATACAATGTCTGTGTGAGATAGTTTGAAATGTACGTTTTTATGACCCCTGATGAACCCCCCAAGATTATTAAGCGATGTGATTCTACTTAATGACGCAATGTATATGATTTCGATTGTACTTTATGTAAGTTTTTATATTATGTTTGTATAAGTTAATATGTTGATAATCATTGGGCTATTCATTACACAGCTAATTTGGCATTTGGATAAAGAAGAACGAACTAAATTGTCGGGAATTATCAACCTGGAATTTGCGTTACTTATGTAATTTCTGTTTACAGTTTATATTGATAAGGACCCGAATTGAAAGGTTTATTTTATTCGGGCTTTTTTACATTTCACTGATAGATTCTTTCAAACCTCATTTTATATATTTTTATATTCTCTCTCTGTCTTCTCCAAGGTGCATTTCAGGTCGACGTAGACCACGAACGGGATGCGCTCCTTCCTATAATGATTACTGAAATTCAATCACTTGTCGTCCTCGCTCGGCAACCTGATGGCGCAATCGTATAATTTTCCATAGTCTACTACGTGAGCCGTAACGGACGAATTCTCTTTTTTTCTTTTTGCTTCTGAATGCAGTATACGTTGACGGAGATATAGTTAAGATTTTCAAATTTTTTAATTTGATTCAGCGACATTGAGAATACAATGTCTTGAAGATTTATTACAGTCGTGTAATGCGGATATGATCATTCTCGTTCCATATTTTTTTAGCTGAGAGTAGAGCGGCAACCACGCGTTGCCTAGAGATTGCACATTAACCACAGCTCTCTTTATTTTAATTTCTCGCGGGAGTTTGATGTAACATTCCGCATGCAGAGGATTGTACTTGTTTATGTTTACTGTTAAATTCAGTATACGCAACAGCGTCTACCCACTATCGCACTCCTGGAATTTCTCCAGCGATGTCAGAATAGGCTCGACAACGTGCGACGCGTTCCACTCATGTAAATCAAATGAATGGAAAAGTTCATAATTTCTCGTACTTGGACACGCTGCTTTTATTTGCACGTTTATCACCCGACACAAATTCACTATTAAATTTACTGTGTATATCTTAATATTATCATGTCTCTGAATAACATTTTGCACATGCTCAAGCGTGATATCTCTCTCGCATCTTCAAGGAATTAGCGAGGTTCAATGTGTTCAGAGTTTATCACAACACCGGTCATTATACGATTTTCGAACACCGTATCAATCTCGCGCCATACGAAGTCCCGCGCTGTACCCGGCATCCATTTACACTAAACGTCCACGCACCGTGTCTTTCAAATTTTCGAGTCGCACAATACATGCAATCAACGATTGTTTAACTCCAATCGATAATCGCGGACATTTAGCGACTCTGTTCTTTCAGCGATTCGATGAAATTATCGCAACGCTGTTCCCACGTAAGAAACTCTTCTCATTCAATTGAGCGGCTTGCGCTATGAGATCACGCTCCGTTTGATCCATATTGTTATTTTGAATTGTTGCTCGATTGCTGACAAAATGAGTTTTCAGAGAAGAAAATCTTTTATATAATATGGATTTTATATAATATGGAAAAATGCATTATTTGGTTTGCTGCATGTTTGAACATATTTCAATAAGTTTTAGATCTTGAATCGACTATGATGATGATGAACTGTTGACTGCATTAATTGCTCGATACCTGCACGCCTCTCGATAAATGCCTTCCACGTAGCATGAGGTACGAACTTGCGGTTTACTTGATTATCGCCAATCGTAATTTGCACATGAGATATAAATCTCACAACGCTCCCAATGTCCAGGAACTTGTACGCTGTCGATGTCAATGCATATTTCTTCATCATATATTATATTATTAATTAGTGTTACTAGGTTATATTATTAAAATTTATAAAAATATTATCATAATATTATTAGTTACTAAGTCGTATCATTAAAAATTCATAAAATATTTATCTATTTAATTATATCGCATGCAAGAAGAAAAGACAACGTGGGAGAGAGTGCAACAGGAGGAAGAGAGAGCGCAAATAATAGGTATAGGACTGCAACGAGTGGAAGAGAGAGAACTGCACCCTATAATGGGTAGGAGAGAGAGGACAATAAGTTAAAGAGAGAACGCAATGAGTGAGAGAGAAAAGGAACGAACCCTTTCCTCTCTACCATGGATTCCGGTGACGCGTTTCCTCTTCCCAATGTCTCTTCTTCTATGAGACACTTTCCCCTCTCTGACTCCTACACGCACGCACGCACGCACGCACGCGCTCACGTACGCACATCGTATACGTAACGCACTAATACATAGTGAATTAGAGTCGGTTTATATATATGTCGATAGTTATTCTATTGTTACGGTTCGGTTCATTAGCTTGCACAATATTTCGGTCCGATTATCGGTTTCGGTTTCGGTCCAATCCTAGTCCTTACTATAAATATCAGAGCGTTGTTATTGCCAGCTAATCAGTGTACAGTCTTTGTTACATTAAGATTAAATTATTAAAGATTTAGTTTTGGTTTTGATGCCCTGGACTATAATTAATATCAGAATTTTTTATCCTTTTTTTCTTTTTCTTTGCGATTAACGTTTTAGGTGTATTAAAAGTTGTTCATTAATTTCAATATAATTGACACTGATTCGCTGAATAGTCAAAAACTGATTTTTGACTAAACCGATTGAATTTAAATGTTTGCGATATGGTGAATTTTTGTTTTAGTAAGCTACCTTCTATTATTTTACAATAAATTGTTTTTGCTCCCAACAAATTTACCTTTTAATAATTTTAATATATTTTAGATTGTTATTAGAATTCATTTTTATATTATGGTTTCCGTTAATAGGTGGAAGTGACTCACCGAAACGAGTTAGTTTTGTAAAAAAAATTTTTGTAATTACAACATCATATTGTCTCCGAGAATAACTCAAAAGTGAACCGAAACATGTAAATGGATTAATTATTATGAAAATTATTTTGTTAACCGTATTGGTTTGCACAAGAATTATAGTGCTTGATTCCTATTGCCCTGTTATATCAAATTCTATTTTTATCCCTAGAAATGAGATGAGCGAGAAATTTTATGTTCAAAACTGTAGTTTGGTCACCGGTCTTAGTGACTTAAAGGTGTTGTTGCGCCAAATTGATGGATCGCAGGAAGAAGAATAAGATACTCAAATACTGTTCGGTGAATATGCACGCCTTTTGTTCGACAACGCAATCCACTGACTCTCACTACAAACTATAACCTCGTCTAGTCTCGCTTTGTTCGCGTATCGCGGCGCACGGCACAATGGTCGCGAACGGGGGGAAACAAAGACTAAAGCTAACGGCCGAACACGTGAACGGAAACACTCCCGTAATGCCTTGCACGCGGGTTACGCGTGTCTTTTGGGCGCGAACCGCGCATTCTACATCTCTCCCACCTTGAGTTGCATCCTCACGTCATCTGGGTGCAACTAAACCTATCCAAAAAGGCAAAGTAAATAAAAAATGAAAAATGAAGCTAGGCTTCAAATCGTTCTGGCTTCTTAATAAGTCGTCCGCTCCGAGTTCTTAGATCCGTTTCTTCTGTAGGAACAGACTTCGGCTTCTCCTCGACGACCGACTCCTGCTTCTCCTGCGGGGCAGACTCTGGACTCTCTCCATCCTGAGGCGAAGCTTTGATTGACTCACGGACTCTGCTAGCTTTTTCCGCGTGATGACCCACCTCCAACGGGATCAGTCTTTGTATTGGGCGAATTAATTCTCCCTTTTCCGTTTTCAGTCTCACAACTCTGGTATGTCCGTCCTTTCCAGGAAGGACTTCTTTGACTATTGCCAGCGGCCAATCCAAACGTCTTTGGGTGTCGTTTCCGACTAGTACTACGTCGCCAACTGCAACCTGCGTGAAACTGCTCTTGCATTTCGTCCGTCTGGATAATTGTCCTAGATACTGGATGCGAAAACGCCTTCTCAATTCTTCCTTTAGACTTTGGCGATAACGGATTCGTTTTGCAAAGTTTGTCTTGCTGATCTGGTCCAAATCGGGAACGCCAGCTTCCTTGA